CAATCACTACACACACGCACACACACGCGGGGCCACACATCCAAACGGATGACATCAGCTTTCCCCCGTAATCTCTCCGTATCTCTGTCCTCTCTTTCTCCTCCCTCCCCCTTCGCCTCCCCTCTTCGTACCTGCTATCCGCCAGCTGGTGCGTGCGTGTGTGTGTGTGTGTGTGTGTTTCCTCCCCGCATCGTGAGAAGAATCTACGCATCCTCTCAGTGGCTCTCTCCAGATTAAAGTCGCCGTCGACATTCCTCTTCTTTTTCTTAATTTTGACGCCCCCCCCCCCGCCCCCTCCCCTCCCTCCTCCTCTTCCACTGCGAACACGAGGGCTCTGATTCCCGTGGAGGTTGGGATGCGGAGCCAGACCAAGGGCGATCTCTTTTGGGCGGCGTGCCGGAGGAAGTGGAGGGAGCTCGGGACGCGATGAAAGGGGCGCATTCACGTGTCCCCTTTGAGAGGCCGAGAGACAGAGGAGCTCTGATTCCACCCTCCATGACAACGGGCATCATGAGGACATCCCTGTGCAGGGGTAGGTTGGTCCCCCCGCCGTGTACTTTTACCCCGGGCCTGGTCGCGTGCGGGACAGGCCTGCAGCAGATTCACATGCACGAACGTCACACATTGTGGCGGACGCCGCCCTGGTTGATGGCGCCCGTTGAGCAGACTTTGTATTCGCTCGGCATCACCGGTTTGAGACGAAGGTGTCTTTGGTGGACATTAACCGTCTCATTATCACTACGCACTCATTGTTTGCATCATCAGCTTGTGGGACACTTGAGTTTTTTAGGGCGGATTAATCGTGGAATTGTTTGGGCCATAAAATGTTTAGAAATTACTTTGCTTTGAAATAAGACAACAATCTCCTTTGATGACGTAATCAGAATGACATATTTGCAAGTTCTGCTTGAAGTTCCAAAAAGTCACAATTCTGATTGAATTTCTGCTGTTGTGACTCAAACTGGACTCTTGTTCCTATTCTCACTACTTTTTGGGGAGAATTACGGTACGAAAAATACACATCACTCTGGTCTTTAGTTATTATTCCGTGTCATTGTGTCTGATTTGGGGGAAATTAGACCATTACACCAGACGAGAGGCGCGGCGGGCGCTTCTGCTGCTGCAAACGATGCAAAAGACACATTTATTTTAATGATTTGATCAAAGGTAATCACAAGGCGTTATTATATCTCGTTAACTTGAAGTGAGTCATCATTCACTTAACAAACTAAACGGATGTCGGATCTGCAGAAAAGGTGATGATGTGAAAATGTCTCATCCAAATACCTTATTTAACACCAGTAATAGAATCGCTGCCTGGCGACGTGAAAGTCTCCTCACATTTTGACAGAGTATTTATATTATCAGATGCTACAATCTGTCTCTGCTCCATGTGGCTCGGTGGGACTCCAGGCGTCTGCCCCGCCTTCCCTCCCGACATGTGCGCCTGAATAAATTTGATTTCGAGGAGCGCTCCTTGATCCTCTCACAGGTCTCGCATCCGTTGCCCGCGGTAACGGTGTCACCGTGATTCTTCCAACTCCGGTACCTTACGTGCGTGGATGTTGCTTGATCGCAGCGAGGGGAAACGCCGCGGTGGAGATGTGAGCGGCGTTAATTCCCTTTTTTGCAAAATGTCCATTTGGAGGAATTATTTGTGAATCTGTGCTGCTGTGAAGCCACGCGAAACGGCTGCAGGGGGAATATCCTGCTAAATGATTCGCGGGGTGAAAGACCCCAAGAGATCATTTGCTCAGAGGAAAATTAAATCCAGGCGATGTTCATTTCTGCTACTTTGTCTCTTTTATGATTCCTTCGAGGTCATTTCGATGTATCGGTATGAAAAATTACAGATGTAACACGCTGACGCAGCGAGCTTTTGTTGCATGTTTTTATTTAAAAAACAAAGTGATTGCACCCCGCCTCCAGCCCCCCCCCCCCCCCCCCGTTGCTTCCTCGATATCTCTCCATCAGCTGTGCCGTTCCTCTCCTCTCTCCTGGGGGGGGGGCGAGCGTGCAGCCGTCGATACCTCCTGGCTGTGCTACAGGCGCTCCACTCAGCACCTCCTGCAGGGCGCAGCTATTCATGGCGTTCATGGGGGGGGGGGGGGGGCGGCCCATCCCACATCGCCGGCTGTCGTCCTTCCTGAAGACCTGAAGCCTCATCGGGCGTGAAAAAGAAGCGAAGGCGCGATCAGCGGGTCGAGAAGCAAAAGTGAGGTTCTGCCTCCCCCCCCCCTCCTCCCCGTCAGTGTGAAGCAGCGATGTTGGCTTTCCTCGTCATCCCCTCTGCGCTCCCCGCTCAGCAGACTTTATTACCACCCAAACGATGTGTAATCACAGTTGATTAAGACCCGGCTGCATCGTCAGTGAAAACGCCGCACAAGCGCATCGCCCGCAATCGCTGTCTCGGGTTCGCGGTCGGCAAAAGTGCAGCGAAAGCGACTTTGTTTTCTTTCTTTCCTGGTGGCGTGCCGCGGCCCGCCTGCACTCCGGCGGCGCTGAATGGCGAGCTAATCCATCCCTCTAATGCAAGGGCCTTACGCCGGCCCGTCACTTCCTAATTGGCTAATGGCGAGATTATGGGGTGGACAATGGGCCGCGCCGACGGGGTCGCTGCCAGTCACAACAGAGGCTTTAGGGCGTGAAAGGGCCAGGACCCACTTCATGCGTCCGCCCCCCCCCCCCCCCCCCCCCCCGGAGGTGACTGAAAAGGGCCCGTCTGTGACACAAGCCACCGAACGTACGACATTAAAGGGCCGAACACCAATCCAGCCACATGAGTTCTCGGGTTTTGCCCGATATCCTGTCTGCATTTGAAGCTGCAGAGGAGTCGGTTAAAGAAACCAGCGACGCGGTGGAAAGGAGGGAGAGCGACGAGGCGGATGAATGCAGAACCACTGTGACTGTTCTCCACCCGACCTCCACATCTCCTCGTAGTACAAAACATCTACTTCACTCGGCTGAACACGGCACGATGATAGATTTTATTTACAAGCTGCTTAACCTCAATGTCCACCCAACGCCTCACAGTAAAATACATGCGGTTAGTTTTATTCTTTTTAAGTACAGTGTCACTGCCAGTTCTCGCTGAGCTCCACGATCAACAGGAATAGAAAATACTAATATCATATTTTACTGTTTTACAGAAGAGGTTGACTTCAAGATGCCGCTTGTCTCTTGTCCCGGTGCGTTACTTAATGGAAATGATTATTTTAAACGCACATGGTATAATCGTTTCCTCAGGGTCGAAGACTCAGGAGGCTACAATCTGCGAGGCGCCGCGGATGTTCTCCGGATATAAATCCTTTGCTTCAAATGGAGCCCGATGTTTTCTGCTTTGCACACATCGTCCGGGTCCCCGTTGAGCCTTTTCCAAATTGCCCGCAGTGATCTGCGGGTTACGCAGCTTTTGATGCACTTTCTTTTTCGCGCGCAGCTTAAAGGCAACGCGCCGTGCAGGAGCAGCCGCCGCCGCCGCGGCGATCCTGCCCGTGAAGTCTGCGTTTAATATTTTAAGGATTAGAACTATAAAAGAAAGAAACCGAAGTTGTTGTTTTCGTGACATTGGGAGCATTTTTCTTTTGGTTGTGTTTTGATGTTTGAATTCTTTGACGTCTTTGAACATCAAAGTGCTGTTTACTGTGAGTATGAATGAAATAATTCCCCAAATTGCCCATCAACAGTTTCCATCGACATCTGGAACTTGTCGGCGAAAACACGAACAATCCACGTGGACCAATCAGTGTGCACAGACCAAAGTACTCGCACACAGTGTGGATTTTCAGGGAGCTTCTCGCGCTCCAAAAATGGGCCCGAATCCAGAACCTGAGGGGATTAAAAGATCTGCTTTGTCTAACCCTTAACAAGGTCCCGCCGGCTGCGCTTCACACAGGTCGCAGTATTTGGCCGCTGAACCGCGGGGTCATGACCTTTTATGCAAAGGGCCCAGGATCCGGAGACGTTGTTGTTTGCCTCCTTTTTTTTCTTTTTTTTTAGAAATGATCCCCAGCAGAAGATGCTGCTAAAAATAGTTGTGCAACATCAAAGGTCCTCTTTGAAATGTGCGTGCATGTGTGTGTGTGTGTGTGCGAAGCTAATCTGACGGGTACACAAGCCCTCATGCAGACAAACACAATCAGGAAACTCTCCACCGGAGGTGCGACAAACACACATTTTATTCCAGCACATGACGGCCTTCCCTGCTGCTCACTTGTTGTCATAAGCTCTTACAAATTGCTCAGTCAGCAGGTTCTGGTTTGATGTTTTTGGCTTTGAAGGTCGTCGACTGCGAACTCCCGCTCGGAGGTCTGAGGGAGGGCGCCCGGGGGGGGGGGGGGGGGGGGGGGCCTTTTTTTCACACAAAGGTCCCCTTTGAACTTTTTTTGCCCCGCAAAGGGAAAAACCCCGAAAAAACTTTTTTTAGAAAGAACCGGGGGGGGGGGGCGGGTCCCCCCAATTAAAAAGGGGCCCCCCCCCCCCTTTTTGGGGGCCGGGTTCCCCCCTTTGAAGAGAAAATTGCTCCCCCGTTAACGAGGCATCTCTGGAAGAGGCAGCCGAGCGGCTTAATGGCCGAAGTCTAAAGACGTTTCGCCTCGTCTCGGTTCAGACGTCTTCCAGCGGTCGGCGAGGAGAGAGAAAGTTGAATCTCTTTGATAATACATTTGAGAGGAAATGGACTCTTTTAGATACATTACACGTTGTGCAGCGATGCAGCAGCGACGCCGTTGAACTACTTTGACCCGAAGAACGGGGGGTCAAATATTTCCACCCTCATTTCTCCTCTCTGTGTCCAAATTGCATCACTCATTGCCACTCGTCCCCCGGGAGAGCACTCTGAGCTGTGTACATAAGGAAAGGAGAGCAGGGGGGGGGACAGGGGGGGGGGACGGCTGAGGAATAACGAGCGCTTAATGAGCAGAGCCGGGTCGGGGTCAACGTGTTCCAGCTCTTAAACGCTCCTCATACTGAAGGCCTCCTCTCGCTTTTATCTCCTGCAGGCACGACCCGGCAGCCCAAGGAGGGCGAGGTCCCGGGGGTGGATTATAACTTCGTCACCATCGAGCGGTTCATGGAACTGGAGAAGAGCGGAGCCCTGCTAGAGAGCGGAACGTATGAAGGTGAGGATTCGCAAGGCGGCGGCGGCGGCGGACCGAGTGTCGTCAGTCAGGTCGGACGCTGACGGGAGTCCTGTGTGAAATCTGAATGGAGAGGAGCCAACACACACACACACACACACACCCCCAATCCAGCTAATTTGAGTCATGTAAAGGGCGATTAGAACAGGAAGCTCCCGGGTTCACTTCCTGCTACGTGTGTCCTTCAGAGAGAAGAAACCATCTCATTGTACGAGGAAGGAACAGCGTTTGGTATCCATGGGGATCATTTTTGCAATTTTACTACACTGGTACTCTTGCGTGTGTAAATTGACATGTGTTAAATTCTCCTCATTGCGGGGGGTTATAGCACAGCAGGGGTTATGCCCTTTGACCCGAACCCTTGTAACGATAACGACACACACTCCGATGGGACTGGCGATTTTCCTCCGTCCCGCTCTGAGGACATCGTCTTCACGGAAGTGGTGGTTCCTTAATACGCCCTCGTCAGCGGGTGCAAATCCGCCGCGTTAAGAGGACTCGTTATGAATCCTCGTTAGCGGCGGATCAATAGGAGCCCTCGTGGGATTGTGACCCGCGGCAACAAGCTCGTCCTTTTTGAGCCGAGGCCCTTTTTAATTTGCTCATTTAAAATGTCTGGATTCATTAGGCCTGCGACAGTGTTGTTACGGTTTATTTCCTGAAAGCTGCTAATATGAATTACTCGGAACGTATAAATGCCGTCAACTCGAGTCCAGACGCAATTTGAAAAAAACAAAACAAGTGGCATTAACACGATTCCAATTGAAATGTGTTTTGGCTGAAAAGGGGAGGGGAGGGTCCTCAGAAGACCCCGTGAGCGAGAGCTGTTTGTGTTGCATAAACCTTCCGTCCTCGGTAGAGAAGTAGGTGATTACTCAAGATGTCCGCTAACATCAGACACAAATCAATTATCAATCAGGCTCGTATTGTCAATTCAGAACGATGACGGGAAGCAAAAAAACAAACACTTTCCCTCTTCATTCTCAAATGGAAAAAAACATCAAAGCCTCAAGCTGGATGTGAAGATTTTGACTTTTATTCATGATTTGGCGTCATTTCTTTGTCGTCTTACCCACAATCCTTTTAAAGGATTTTGTAAATTGAGATGTATCTTCCTTCCCAAATCAATGTTTTTGTTTGTTTGTTTGTTTTTTTCATCTCTCCGGCTTTTCTTCTCCGTCCCCAAAAATGGTCTCGTCTTTCGTCTCTGATGATGGAGCCCGGCGAGCACCGGTAGTCTCCTGGCGTTGGATATGAGACGGTCTATTGCTGCAGGGGCTCTTCTCTTCTCCTGCGTGCCGGCCGGTTTAAAATCGCCTCGGAGACGAGTGGCGTCGGATCTTTGGGGAAGAAGAGGCTTTGTACAACACGATCCGACATCCGACAAACGCCTGCCGCTGTGGTGCGAAAACCCAAATGTCACCTTTTTGAGACGGTAGAAACAAACAGGAGGATCGAGGATTGAGCTTCACGTCATTTCGCTCTCCTTTTTTTCTGAACGTTTTACAAGCCCGAGGGTCGTGTGCCGCATTCGAGCGGCGAGGGGAAACACCAACAACTTTTCATTTGAAGGGTCAGTTCACTCGTTAAAAAGCATATTGTTTCCAATGCATCCGCTGCGATTTCTGCTGCCAAAGCATTAGAAAGGATGTGCGGGGAATTTAGTTTGTTCTCATTGAAAAATGACATTTGAAAAGCTTAACATTTAAATGTCTCCCCAGAAGCAGCCTCACAGTTCCAGGACTCTTCATAATCCACGCACATTATTCCACCTTCAGAAAGGAAAATCCTCAGTGACAGAAGAGAAGTTCTTTGGTTCTAAACAATGACTGATGGAGACGGAGTGCGGCTGTCAGAAGACAAGCGAAGGGTGGCAAAGTAAAAAGCCCAGAATGATCCGTTGAGTCCGGAGAGGCGGGGGTGGGTGGGGGGGGGGGGGGGGGGGGCAGCTGGCTCTGATCGCAGACCCAAACCTTTGAGATTCAGCGTCTCTTATTCCACCTGGTGAGTCCGACAGCTGAGGAGGAGACGGCCGTGCAAGCAGCGTAATGAGTCAGCACTGAGGCACTACACGTGTAGGAAGTTACAGTTTAGTAGATTCAAAAAAGAAGGTGTCTATTTTTTGCTGTGAATTGCACCTTTAAGGCTGCAGCGGTAGGCAGACATTTGGCTAAAAATGAAACACGAAGGCACATAAAGGGCCGTGTGGATGTCTCACAGCTGCTCCTCCTCCTCCTCTGTTCCAGATAACTTCTACGGCACCCCGAAGCCTCCGGCCGAGCCCAGCGCTCTGCTGCTAAATGTAACGGACCAGCTGCTGCCGGGCGCCAGACCCACCGCCGAGGGCAAGAGGAAGCGCAACAAGTCGGTCAGCAACATGGAAAAGGCCGGCGTCGAGCCGCCCGAGGAGGAGGAGGACGAGAGGCCCGTCGTCAACGGCAACGGTGTTGCTGTCACCCCAGGTCAGCCCCCCCCACCTCCCCCGACACACACAAACATGACCCCTGCAGAAGCGGAGGTCGCCGGAGGTCGCTGGAGGTCAAGGCCCTCTCCAGACAGCCGGGTCAGAGGTCGCAGCCGATCCGCCGCAGTCTCGTTTAAGTCTGAGCAACAGTCTCTGGAGTGGTTGCCTAGCAACAGAGACGGTGACGGATCGCTTTTACATGGTCTTCTTGGGGGGGGGAGAAAACGATTTGATGGCAGATTAATTGGCTCGGCAAATATCCTCACATGCAGTCTGACTGAACCGACTTATAATTCACTCTCACATTCAGCGGTTACCTCAGCACGCCAAACATTTAACCGTGACGGCGTTATGGCTGCTTCTCCCCGGAATTCTGTATTTATTACGCATCGCTCTTCTCGTGGCCCCGGATAGCCGGAGGACACACGCGCTCTTCACTTCAACAGGAGCCCGCGGCCTCTTTAATGAACAGCCGGGGACGTTTTTATGAAGTGCGAATCGGCCCGGTCCAAATCCGAGGAAAAGCTGGTATAAATAATAGAGAGGGACCCTTTTTTTTTGGTTCAGGCATTTTCCTTCAACAACAACTTCCTGAACGAGTCACCGGCGTCGTTTGGATTACCAAGCACTCTAAAGTGAAATGAACACGCTTTCGCACAAAGAAACCCTCTCAACGCGTCCCATGATCAAACGAAGATAGCATCATGAAAGAGGCTCAAAGACTTTGATTTTTGTGTCCATACTGAAAAGCAGGCCTCGGTCCTGTGACTCTGTGAGCCTCGGGACAAGCCGAGTGTCTCGCTGCAGTCGGAGCAGAAAAGAGACTCAGCTCGTCGGGCAAAATGAGGATATTTTGATTTTCAAACCGAAGGGAGCTCAAACAAGGTAGGCCGCTCAATTTAGAGAGAGAAACGCATTCATACAGATGCTAATGTGTCCTCTACAATATGGTAATAGAACAAAATTTAAATGGCAGCTTTCTAAATGTGTAGCAGGCACTTAGCACAAGAATGAGGGAGAGAGTGAAAGACTGATGTAGAATGAAGTCATTTACATTTAGGCAGAGAATTAAGATGAATATGGAACAATAATACAACTTTTAAGACAATGAATGATGAAACGACAGAAGAAAAAATCGGAAATCAAGATTTAGTGTAATTGTAAAATCCGAACATAAAATAAGTTGTATAGCAGCAGTAATAAAACCCATTGTACGGGACAGGACACCCTTTGTCATACTATCAAGTAGAGGATAGATTAAAACAAGACTGCCTATAAATGTAACTTAAAAGGTAATGAATATTCCATGAAGAGAATTTAAAGGTCAAACACCAAATGACAGAATATAGTTGCGTTTCCAGTTATTTTATTGCACGGTTCAGCAGCTCATGAAAGCCTAGTTCTGGGTTTTGCACCACGTTGGTGTTTCCTTCAACCTCGCAGACCAAAGGTCTTCATAGAAAGTTACTGGTTACCACTCGACCGCTGTTACTCCCCAGACCGGATGCAGGACCGCCGGGGGGCTTTAAATAAGGATCTCAGCTCGCCCAGCAGCCCGCTGCTTATCTGCCCCCCCCCCCCCCAAAACACAGACGGCGCGTGAAATTGAACATTTTGAAACGATTTCCCCTCGGCGGGTGACAGAGACCCCCCAATAACTCGCGACTTCGGGGTGTAAAAGTGTGTGGGGGGGGGGGGTCATAGGAGCGCGGGGGGACCCTTTGTTTTAAACAAATAGCAAGCTCTTTTTTCCCCCCCCCCGCAAATTTATCCCCCCCCCCCCCCCCCCCTGCCCTTCCTCCTCCACCTGCGGGCCTCTCGTCTCGCCATCTGTCCCTCCGTTCTCCCATGCGCGCAAGTTTAGAACTCGAACGAGGCCACGGCGGCCAGCCTCCCTCTCAACCTCCGTTGTCTCGTCCCGCTTTGTCCCTCTCTCTGTCTCGTTGACCTCCCCCCTCCCTTCCCCTCCCGCTCTCCCCCGCCACCTCAGAGTCCAGCGAACATGAGGACAAGAGCACAGACGCCTCGGGGGACGCGGCCCCGCAGAGCCTGCCGGCGGAGGCCCCGCCCGAGGCGCCCAAAGAAGACGGACAGTCCCCGAAAATGACGCTGCCCAAGCCGGAGGAGAACGAGGAGCTGGGCCCGCTGCCGGACAACTGGGAGATGGCGTACACGGAGAAGGGAGAGGTCTACTTCATAGAGTGAGTGTCGTACCGGAGGATTCTGGGAAGTGAGGCGGTGAGAGAGAGAGAGTTGCATGTAAACGCTGCAGTGCGTTCACATTGTTTGCCCCGTCGTTCGGTGCTCTTCTGCTGCTGCTGCATCTGCAAGGTGAGAAGGTGAGAATTGAGTTTTTAGGCCGCGAAAAAAAACGAAAACGGTGAGCTGAAAGACGCGGTGATGGTTGATGCTTTAATGCTCCTGGAAAGAAGGAAAGGATCAGTAGAGTTGTGTCTGTTACTAGGAGCAACCCTTTTGGGGTCTTACTTTTACGAAACAGGCTCTGGCTGGTGAACAGTGACACAAAAAGAGTCCGAGTTATAATTAAAATCTGAGCCGGTATAAAAGAGATCGAATGACGACTTCTTATTTCCACTCTCCGCTAACAAAACGAAATTAGTTACTACATTAGGGCTCGGTAACATCTAAATTTACTTGTGTATTTTCCTTTGTGTGCACACACTGATGCAGACACACACGGGGCCCATAATTGATGCTGGGTGCTCTAATGAGATCTAGAATGGGGCGGCGCACAGAACTCCGTTAGCTCTAACTTGAATTCATTGGAGCCGTTTTACAGCCGCAGTAAAACCGTGGAGGTGCGTCGTCGCTTAAGAGCCGACGGAGGCGCTGTGTGTTCTTCTGAGTTCACGGACGTGTAAACGTCGCCCTGTGCGCCATTAGAAATAGTTCTTATTGCATCGATAGATCGTTCCAGCCATCCGGCCGGATTGGATTTCTCTGCAGCGCTGATGGAGTCGCGGCGCACTCGAACGCATCATAAACCGCTGGAAGCTGCGCGGCGAACCTCCCCCACCCCCCGGCCATCAGACATAAGACAGCTGCGATTTCCATCCGGCCCGGCACACGTCTAGTTGCCACAAAGGCAGACTTTTAACCCCCCCCCCTCCCCCTCGAATACAGACGACTCACCATATGTCTCCCGAAACAGACAAATCTCATGCTCCCACACCCACCAGGGACATTACACAACTAACGCAGTCAGGCCACCGAATGCGATGCCGCGCCAGAGCCCCAAGCAGCTGCCAAGAGGACGCTCGCCCTTGATTTGCCCCCCCCCCACTTCTCCTAACGAGATCATTTTTTGATGGGAGCGGCTGAGGAGAGGAGGTGGAAGGAGAAGAAAGTCATCGTGATTAAAAATAGTAAGCACTTGGGGGGGGGGACTAGAAGGATGCAGTAGAAGTATAGACTATAAGACTATAAATAGCAATAGTTGGCAAAGGAGGAGAGGAAGGCAGAGCGAGGTAGGGAGGGAGACGCTTTGGAGCATGAATCCAAAGCAGACTTTACCTTTCCCTGAACTGCACTTTATTTGGCTCCGTATTTGGCGCGGGCCTCAAACGCCCGCTTTTATCTCTATTTAGGGATGGAAATGCCCGTCTGTTGGTCCACTATTTTGGTCCGGACGGAAGTATGCAACGTTTTCCTGCAGCGCCCCCATCAGGTCAGAATTTCGGAGACGCATTTCGGCGCCTCGGTGCGATTTAGGTTCGGGCGGTAATGTTCCTCCCGGGACGCGTCGGAGTCACTTTGGTGAGGCCGTAGCTTTTCATCAACATTCAGGACAGTCCCATCGGCCTCCATGGTGCTAACTAGCCAACGTTAGCATGCTAACACAGCAGCATGAGGAACATTGTACCTGCTCTACGTCCGTATCGTAGCACGGTGGTCATGAGTATATTAGCGTATATCTCCGTGTTTTGTGTCACCGCGACTTCATGGAGGTGTAATTAATAAATTAGATGTTTTCGGCTCGGCTTTGGTCAAAGAAACAAAGATTAATTTCGTTTGACATGTTGTTCCTGTCGTTAGTACATTACCATGATACCTGTCTTTAATGCATAACCCCCCCTCTTCCCAAAACAGAGATACCAGTTGGTATAATATAATAAGTTGCATTTGTTGCATAACAGTTTGCAGACTTTGGAACTCTGGAAAAGAACAAAGACACGAGGGCGCCTTCATCTTCCTTCGTCTTCTCACTTTGGCTTTTTGGTTACCCGCACCCCCCCTCCCCCCACCCCCGGTTCCCCCCCTTACTGTCACCATGAAGGGAGGCCATTGTGGCTCCAAGGCTTCGGTGGAGCTGTGGAGACGCGTCGGGTTTCCCTGGCACATCCTAACTGATCCAGATCCAGCGCTCTGCCCCGGGGGCTCTGAAAGAATCTGCCGAGCTCACAGCTGCCCCCCCCCCCCCCCCCATTACTCCCTCAGTCACCCCTCTATCTTTCTCTTCCCCCTCCCTGCCCCTCCTCCTCCTCCGTGGCCTGCCAATGAGAGACAGTGGGCAAATTAAAAGTATTGATTGCCATTTTGTTAACTTAAAGCTTTTTTTTTGTCTCTCTCGTCACCTTTTTGTGAGGCGGGGGCCACGAGGGAGCCTCGTCCTCCCCCTCAGATATGATCCTCCGGGCCGAATTAAAAATCCGCCATCCTCCTCCTCTCTTTTCTGCCAAGTCTCCTCTCTCTCTCTCTCTCTCTCTCTCTCTCTCGCCATCTCTCACACTGCCGCTCGCTCACTCTCTCTCTCTCTCTCTCTCTCTCCGTCTTCTCTTCACAGCCACAACACCAAGACAACATCGTGGCTGGACCCCCGGCTGGCCAAGAAGGCGAAGCCGCCCGAGGAATGCAAAGAGGATGGTGAGTGCCGCGTCTCCGTCTTTGTTTCTCTTCTTCCTTCTTCCTTCTGGTTTCTTTCGGCGTCTTTCACACGTTTCAGTCGCGCGGCCTCGGAGCATTTTTCCAGGAGGCGAACCTCTGCCTGTTGATCCGGCGAGTCGCGCGTCTCGCCGCTCGGGTTCATTCCAGGGACATTTGCGGATTCTGAGGATATTTATTTTTCTTTATTTCCGGGGAGCGACACGCTGACGACGTCGGCGCGCGTCTCGACACCCGTCGCCGGGGGGATAAGAAGCACCCTTCCTCCCCCCCCCACCCGTGTGTGTTTAAAGCCCAGGTCCAGAGAGAGACCGCAGGGCTACAAAGACGTCTTTATTCTCAGGGAGATGAGGCGCGTCCTTCAGCCGCCCACGCACCACGCCGGAGAGAAAGGAGAAGGGATGAATGTCAACGGCGCCGGTTCCTAGACGAGCGTGCGCCAATCTCTCTCGCCCCCTCGGCCGTTTCTTGACGTGTGAGACCAGGAGGAGCTCTAGAGCGGGAGGAAGGGGAGCCGCGGGGCAGGACCGGCTCGTGGAAACGATTTTTCTTTCCGAGTGCGTCTTTCGGCGGAAGGGCGGGGGGGGGGCGGCGCTTGTGTGCGTATTCCGGGTAAAGGTGTAAACACACGGATAGAGTTTCGCTAAAAATACATCCGGCGCTGACCCACAAGCAGACAGCGGAGACGGACAGGCGCTGCTGGAGCAGGTGGCGCGGCAGGTGTGTGGGACCGTTCGGTGGTGAGTGGGCCTGCAGCTAATTACCGTTATTACCAGCAATTCTTCTCTGTGCCGCTGTTTCAGTTTCATTTCAGTTCTCAAGACGCCGACAAACTGCTGCTTCAGTCACTATTCAACATTCCAAAACCCCAAACTGGTTTGATTCAGACGGTTACGGTGGATTGTAATAACTTTGGTTTAGCACCTTCGTCAAAATGATATATTTATATAAATGATATGTAAAGTGCTAATCAGCAGGTGTTGGCATGCTAACATTCCAAGCTAGTCCAGATAATAGGGTAAATCCTACAATTGCTGAATCAGCAGGTTAACGTTGGGGAATTCGTGGGTTCCTGCACACGCTTGGGGTCACTGTGTGAAAGACGTTATGTGGCATCTCCCGTCGGTTTGTGGAGGGCCAATTTGAGACCCCGAGTTAGGCGCCATCTTGGTTTTTAGGGATCAGGAGAAGTTGGAGCTGCGAACAACACAGCAATAAATAAAACATTATTAGGTGACCAAAGCATCAGTTAACTTTGATGGAACGAAAACGCACTGTGAAAGAGTAGAAGACAATTGGACGACTTTTGACCACCTGTCAATTAGAAGATAGCCCCGCCCTGAAGCCCAATGCATCTTTTACTAAATGAACGCAATGCTGTATAGAGGAAGAACTGAAACTTGTTTCAGACCATAAACACATGTTTACATGTTGTTCTGAGGTAATACATCAAGTGAGAAGAAGGCTCTTTTCCCCATAGACTTCTATACAACCAGACTGCTTCTTGCAGTCAGAGCTTCCGCCCCCTGCTGGGCAGTAAATAGAATGCAAGTTTGCAAACTGGGTTTTACTTTTCACACCCGGAGGTTTCGACCTGGACAAAACAAATGTTCAGCGGTATGAACACATCTGCACTGTGTGTGATGGCATTAAACTGATCCCTGTTGACACATCTGGCTCTTTTATCTTTGCACTAGAATTACTTTCCCGATCTTGCATTTTATTCAAAAGTGCTGTGTCTGTATCTTCCCGTTCCCTCTCAATCTTTAGACATGGAAGTGCGACGGATCGCCGAAATGATGAAATGACACATAAACACGGACGCCTGTGTGGAATTACCCCAAATTAGATTCTGCCTTTTATCTCCGGCACTTCCAATCCTATTTAGCCACCCAAGGACACTCCACCAGAGGAGATGTCCTGATATTTGGGAGGACTGTTATTGAACTGGTTGGGCGACTAATCCGGTTACCCCCGGCTGGGAGGCAGCGCTTAATGGGGGCCGCGGGGCTGGAAGCGCGTGGGCGCACATTACGATCGCCGGGCCAACGGACACAGTCACACAGAGTCAGCTGACCGTCTGCAAATGAAAATCCTCCGGTGTTTCTTTGTGTGTGGACGTTTTGTTGGTCATCGACTAGACCGGGTTGAGAGATCGACACCAGCATTAATTCATTAAGTTGTACAGCTAATTAGAGCATACTGACACTGAGGGCTCGACACATTACAGATTGTTCCCGCTAGCGTGCTAACACGCTAACATTAGCGTTCGGTGTTTCCGGTGTGAGGGGTTTTTGTGCGAGAGGCTTGTTGTTCCCTCTCAGAAGCTTCCACCAGCGCCCCGTGACACCAGCCGACCCCCCCCCCTACCTCCCCCCCGCCGGCCCCCCCGGAGAGCTGAGCTCAGCCGTGGAGCGAAAAGGCGTCTCTGTAAAAGTGCTATTGATCGGCGGAGAAGGTGGACGTGTGAGTCCGTGTTTGGAGCCGAGCCGCGCTGTGATAAGCGCTAACAGGATCGCTGGCCTGAGTCTGCGGGCTGTGACGGGGCGACGGGGGGAGAAGGAGGAGGAGGAGAGCTGGAGTATTGAGTGGGGCTCTGAGGACGGAGTTGATCTACTCTGGTGTGTAGAAGAAGTGTTGAGATCCTTCGCTTGGATTAAAAATGCTGCGGTGAAAACCTCCATCTGTTGTGCCGTCCAAACACGGGCTTTAATGGTCTCAATGTTACCGTGAAAATGTGCTTTTGAAGATTATACAAGCTACCTTATTTGGAGGTAACAACAAATGAATTTTCTAAATGTTGGGAATAGTCTCTTTGTGGTAGGTCAAAGGTCAAGGAGCCAGATCTGTAAACTGTGATGGACCGTTCAGCAATCACCTGGACGAATGTTACAGAGGGAATGAGGCCTGATTATCCCTCTTAAGTACTAATTACGTCCTTCAAAGACTGTTGATTGATTTAATCTAACAATGCATTTATTACAAAACACATATTTTATGCTGAATAATACTGTATTTTAACTGTAAAATAAACACTCCAGTGAAGCACCTCCAGACTGCCCTTAAATGCGGCCTGAGAGTGAACGACTTGTTCTCACACAACTCGCACGCTGTGTATCGTTTCTTCTCTCTGCCTCCATCTGTCTCCACCCTCCACATCCATCCTCGTCCCCCTCCCACTGGTCCTCCTGTCTGCTCCGCTTGTTGTGGTCGGCGAGAAGAAGTAGGACACGCAAACAGAGCCTCGCTGTTTGCTTTCCCTCCCTTTAAGTGGCCTGTTTCTTCTAGAGAAGCCAAATATCTGTTGTTTCTTCACTGTATTTTGTGTGTATTTTCGCTCAGGTATTCCAAAGCAGGTAGCGAGGATCCCCCTGATGAGCGAATTAAAAGCTCCTCAGATGGGGTTTTTTCGTCACTATTTCACCGCGTTTCATCAGGCGGTAAAAGAGGCGTTCAGTACGTGGCCACGCAGAGGCTCCACGTCTCTGATGATGCTCGGAGAATGAAGGTCTCTGAAGGGATCGGAGCGTCCTTTGTGTCCCAGCGAGTGTGAAACCTGCACGCGTCCTTTCCGCCCCCAACTCAGACTTTTCTTTTATGGTTTTATTTTTTGAAGGAAGGGTTTTTGTGTGTGTGTGTGTGTGTGTGTGTGTGTGTGTGTGTGTGTCTGCAGTCCTACAGGTGAGGGATTATAGAGGCAGAGACGCGGCGCCCTCCTTCACCTTGAGACTCCTGCAGCAGTTGCGGGTGGAGTAGCGGGAGAGGAGGAGGAGGGGGAGGGGGGAGAGACTGTCTGCAAAATGATTGATGGGTGTATTTTGAGAACATCCCCAGCAGAGCACGCCTGAGGCTTTGAGATTGGAGGGAGGATTCAAAAAGAGTGTGCGTGTGTGTGTGTGTGTGTGTGTGTGTGTGTGTGTGTGTGTGTGTGTGTGTGTGTGTGTGTGTGTGTGTGTGTGTGTGTGTGTGTGTGTGTGTGTGTGTGTGAGACCTGCGCACGCCGAATCAGCTGTCGGTGTTTCTGCGGGGGATTTGTTTAAGTGCATCCAAGTCAACTGATACACTAATTGGATCCCATTAATGGATCCACATGGTATCGAGGTTGTGATGCAACAGCTTGGTGACGTCGGGATGTGTATTTCCTGTCCGGCTGCGTCGATGCAGGATGATACTGCCGTTGATCACGTGCACTGGGTGACTTGTCCCTTCACTTCTTAACGTTGATAAAAACGTATTAATCCGCAGCTTAAAATAGTAACCCACATACGGGTGTGTTTATTCCTCACGTCTTTCAGTGAAGTGAGCGTTTGAGTGTTTGAGCCTCGTGAAGCAACAACAACACACTAGTTTCACAGTACAGCGTGGTGTGTTTCCTTAAGCACATGTATGGATCCCTCGTGGTCCCGCTGGATGCAACGGACGATCGATCAGGGCGAAGTGTAAAGTGAGGGATTAATTAAAGGGAAAGTGGTGCTCAGACACATTATAGGTTTGGTCCGAAAGGGATCGCCCAGAATCAACTACGTCAGATGGTTCTTCGTAGGAGCTTTGACCTAATAACAGTGTTAATTCTCTCTAATTATTTTATTCACAATCTACAGATAAAAGTATCACACGTTGCATCAAAATCGTTTTATTAAATGCTCCCATGTTTAAATGTGAAAGGTTCGAGCTGCAAATATTCATGTTGAACAAAGCAGAAACCTTAATTTTTTCATTTTCACAACAAATAATGAATGATGATGAACTTGATTGTGAAAATTGTCGCAGATTAGTTTTCTGTACATTCATGAAATTACTGCGAATACAATAAGTTGGAACATTTACTCCGTACCGACTTATTTTGATGCAATTTCCCACGTTAGGGTTTGATGAGATGATGAGAAGATTTTCCCCCCAGCAATGTAAAGCCAGGCGGAATCCCATCGCTGCTTTTAACACCAACATCCCACACTTATCTTTTTAAGTTCTTAACACATAATTCTGTGGAATCGACGGGAACATATTTACATAATCGTCCTGTTTGAGACCCAACTAAAGGGACTGAGGACGCACTTTCTCTGCTCCGTCTCTGACTCCGCAGCGCTGCAGATGGACGGCCGAAGAGGAAGACGTATGTGGGGAGGGGGGGGGGGGGGGGGTTCCAGACAAGAGGAGTCAATAAGTGCCAGGTCGCACTTCAGTACGTCCGTCTGTCCCTGGAAGGTCCCGATAAGCCACGAGCTTGTGAATCCACTTCTTTATTTTAATTCTCCTTTTCATTCCGGAGCTTGGCTATTGTCTACTCGCTCGGAGACACCAGTGGGACCGTGCGCTGGAGGGAATGTGGGGGACGGGAATTCCTTCCAAAGCGCAGGTGCTTTTTTGTCGGTGAGTGACGCGATTCAGCTGATTTGTTGTCGGCGCCGTCGCATCGACTTTCCCCGTCACAGACCAGATGTAATGATTCCTTAATGATCCCCTTAAAGACTTGAACCGTGCAGCCGGCGCATGGAAACACACACAGGGTTATCGGACATCTACCCCCCCCCCCGGGAACGTGACAGGGATGGCTGTCACGCATTCCAGTTTTAAAATATCTGTGCGCGGAGAGAAGAGAAACACACTGGGTGGCCCAAAAGTATTTAAATATATTCTGCGAAAAGTTCGATGGAAGAAGAAGAAGCCAACCAGCCAGCGGGCACGGCGCATTTCCTCTTCTGCGATGTCAAACTCACAGTTTTTCTACCATTAAAAACTAAATGTGTGATTTCAGGGACATTTCAGGAAGGTAATTATGGCCGCTGTTGTAACTTTGACACATTGTCTTTGTCCGTGGTGACATTTCAAAGACTTTTTTTCCTGCTTAGCTTTCAGTTTGAGGTTTAGATAATTGAGGTTGGATTGTACTTGCAAAGAGAAGGGCTCTGCAGTAGGATAAGGGGGGGGGGGGGGGTCCAAGGCTCAAAACAACAGCCCCCTCAATTTTATATTTCATTCTCATTACACTTCCCACCGTAGCCAGTGGATTTCATGAACACATTTTCAGTTATGGTTTGACTTTGTAACAGTAAGCTCACTGCTTGAATGCAACGGTGAATTAAATCATATTAATCTTCAAATGGCTGATTCGCTTCAACCGGTTGAATCGCTGCACTGGCCCAGCGGCCCGTCTGGTTCCTCCGACCAGAGGAAGAAAAACTGAAATGAAAGCATGAATCCACGAGACATGAGAGACTCCTCGACCGAGGAAGGACGCGGTCGCGATGGGGACGGAGGGGGAACTAAGAGCGATATCACCGAGTGGCGCCGGAGGAGAGGAATTGTGGGTAATATCCTCCTGCTGGTGGTAAACGGCCCTCCACCAGCGACGGCGGAGCAAAGGTTCCTCCACTGGCTTCAGGGCTCCATCATAGAGCTCCTTCCTGTAAATTTCACACCAGCTGGACTTTTTTCCTCCGTGGACACAAGATGAGCAGTGCTGGCTTTCTATGGCACACACACACACACACACACACACATAGACACACACACACACACACCAGAGATAACTGTCCATCACAGGCACGGGGACCATCGCTAACATTAGCCTCCGCAAGCTACTTGTTATAACAGGCCGAGTAGGAAAAGAAAAGAAACTGAGGAGTGTTCACAGGAAGGACCCCCCCCCTCACTTTGAGGGGACGGGGAAAGGAAGCACGTGCACCAGCAACGTGCCGGCATTGTTCTGCAGTGTTTTTCGCCGTGTGTCTCTTGAGTCCCTAAACCAGGGCGAGCGGCGGTGATGGATGCGATGACCACGGGGGGCGTGCGGCTTAGCGCCCCGGGTTCACGCCGCTGTGCTAAAACATTTCCTCTTGGCATCGGGGCCTTTTTAATGCTAATCCTGGGAAGCGAAAAACGTGACCTGCATGGAGCATTCCAGGTCACAGAGCCTCAAACGTCGTCTTGTTGTCGGGTTCGTGCGTCTTCTTCTGTCGAGCTGTTACATCAAAACCTAATATTTACAGCACAGAGCGTAAAGATTTCAGCGACGGAAGATCTATCGATATTTGCTGTTATTTTGTAACTCCAAATCGCAGCTTTAGAAGAGCAAACAGCCTCTTTGAATCCATGTGACAAGCTGCTGAGAGAAGACTTTTTTTCCAAATGTTCACATCACATGTCTCGCCGCCATCCCATTTTCTTTTTTTCCCACGTAAAAGATACGATTTCAGAACATTTAGCAGCGGCCTCTCCCCGTTCACGCGGCGCCATCAGGATCCTGTTTAATTACAGTAAAATGCCGCTGTCAGCTGACTCTTCCACAAAGATGTTTATCGTGAAAGATCAATATTGTGCCTCAAGTTCATGGAATAAACAAGCCTCTCCATCATTGTCGTCTCACTGCTGCTTTTCTCTCCCCCCACAGAGCTTCCATATGGCTGGGAGAAAATCGATGACCCCATTTACGGCAGCTACTATGTCGAGTAAGTCGGCCGCATCTTCAACACGCAGCGGCTTTCCTTTTGCTTTGTACCCAACGTATTGATCATGTTCCGTTTTGTTTCGCGGCGCTCGCTCGTGTTTCCGTGTGATCCGTCCCGTCCGGAAAACACTTTTATTATACCCTATTTTTAGTGGTGCAGGGGGAGACGCATGGAAACCTCCAGAATGACACGACAGAGAGAGAGAGAGAGAGAGAGACGTGTTCTTATTGGCTCGCTCCGTCATGTAAATATCATGAAAGAACCTCACGGACCTTGAAATTATGTAGAAGAAATATAGTCCCGCTGTGTTGTAATTAGCAGCATGATACTGGGATGTTCATTAAAAGATAAAGAGACTGACTGCGCGTGTGTGTGTGTGTGTGTGTGTGTGTGTGTGTGTGTGTGTGTGTGTGTGGAAGTATCTAATGATGACTAATTATTCCATACTGACAAACGACATTACTTATAGTCGTCTTCCGAGCTGCTGACTGAATTAAGAACCACGTGGGACGTTGAAGGAAGTCTGTTTGATTCACAGAATCCTGCTCATGAGACGTCTGTTCTTCTCCTTTACCCAGCATGCACGTCTGTTACGTAACCCGTTTAATTAATCATCACAGCGATAGCTGCGGCGGCGGCCGGGCCTTTTCTGATCTGATCTGCGTGAAATGCAGCGTGGAGGGAGGGAAACCTGAGATGTGCTCTGCTTTCTTTTCGTCGTCACAGCCACATAAACAGAAGGACCCAGTTTGAGAACCCAGTGCTGGAGGCTAAGAGGAGACTCCAGCAGCAGCAGCAGATGCAAAGCCAGGGTCTGTCCTCACTGCCCCTTCCCACCATCTACAGAGGTACGGCCAGAGTTATTCATCACACTTATTATCTGTCTCTGTGTATCTCAGTCAATACAGCGATGCAGTCCGGCTTTCTTATTTTGTCATCAAGTTTTACTGCCTTATCAGCTTCGCGTATTGATTTTTAAATGTTTATTAACAAAGTCGATTTGAAAATGAAGAGAAATAGATTTGTGGTTGCAGACGGAAACATCTCGGCGGTTCTGATCGTGTTACGTGTTACCGAAAAGGCTTTTTAGACATCTTCAAAACAAAATCACTTTCACTCACGTCCAACCGTGTCGCCAACCTCTCGGGTGTGATGTGGCACCTTCAACGTCCCGGCAGCTGTGACTTCTCCATGTGACTGAAGCTTTCCAATAGAATTCACCCCCGATGGTCGTGTTAATAGTGAGCACGTGGGTTTAAATGTCAATGTCATCGTGTTTAATGACTGGTTTGTTGGTACCTGATTCCAGTGCTCGCTCTCCACAGCCGTGGGATGATCTGCGGGGGGGGGGAAACAAAAACAAAAGAAAGTGTCTGGACTGTAGAAGTGGAGGTTTGTTTCCATAGAAACGTAGTAGTCGGCGAGAGCCTGTCTCCGTGGTTACACGTTGTGTACGTTCCTCCTCTCTCCCTCCCTCCCTCCTTTTCCGCTCCAATCTCTGGTGCCAGTGGAGGATGGCAGCCCCTGCGCCTCCCTCCCCCGACCCCCCCGAGTTCAGGCCGGCGCGGCGCCCGAGCGCTGCCACAGCCTCGGCGACCTCTCCTGCTCGCCAACTGCGTGCCGCCGGGCCGCCGCTTGCGCCTCGTCGTCGTCGTCCTCCGCCGACGCCTCGCCGCTCCGCCACGTCCTGACCCGGCGGATGAATTTGTGCCCCCACCAGCACCACCAGCACCACCAGGAGCAGCAGCCGCGTCAGCCGCTTCCCGCCTCGGCCTGCACCGTGGTGCTAGAGCAGCCCGCGTGTAGCCGCTTCTCCCTGTGGCACTTTGTCAGTAAGTAGGCCACCAGGGAAGCCCGGGGCGGCCGCCTGGCGCCCCGATCGCCTCGCCGCAAAGCATGCCGGCTCGCGAGCAAGCTTCTACGCTCGAGGCACTTTGGAGGATTTGAGTGGCGAGCGTTTACCGCGGCGCGTCCGACCGCCCCCGGCGTGAGCGGGTCAGAGAGAGCGTAATCGCTCTCCGGGCCGAGAAGCGGCGCGCCGGCCACGTCTCCCTCCGAGGTGAAAAGGGACGGGAGGCTTGGCTGAGTGGAACTAAGCTTGTTGGCTGAGATCCTGTCATTCCCACACACAGCGCTCCTGCCTCCAGAATACCGCCTCCTCCCCCCCCCGTACCCGTCCCGCCCCTCCCCCCAGTTCCTCCCTCTACTCTGTCGACCATCTTCTCTTGGAGCTGCACCCTGATTGACAGCATGTCATCTCTCCCTAACCTCCGGGACGGGGGCCGAAGGAGCCTTCCTGCCCGCCGTGTCCCAGCATGGGCGCAGAGCAGCGGATGCCAAGTTTGTCGCGTGCAGCCGGAGCGACGCTGCTCCCGTTCCTTTGCACGGTGGCCACACCCGCATCCCTCAGCATCACTCCGAGTTCCGCAGTTAAGATCATACCCTGCCAGCCTTTCCTGTGGCTACATGTCTGACCGGATAAGCCCCCCTCTCCCCCTCCCCCGCGCCCTGTGAGCACTGCCCTGCACCAGCTTTGAGGTCCTTTTCTGTGGAGCGTTCACAGCGCCAGCCGGTGTGTGTTTGGCTGATGTGTTTGTTCGTGATGTCTTGTAGAGAAGCCGCTGTTCACGCGGGACCCCACTCAGCTGAAAGGCAGTTTCCTGTCCACGGCGCTCCAGAAGAGCAACATGGGCTTTGGCTTCACCATAATCGGGGGCGACGAGCCGGACGAATTCCTCCAGGTCAAGAGCGTCATCCCCGATGGGCCGGCCGCCGCTGACGGAAAGATGGCCACAGGTAAGCCTCCGGCGTGGATCACACGCGACGGCGAACAAACCCGTCTCTGCTTTTCATTGCGGGAAAATACGCGACCGACCTTCAAATGCAGCTTAACAAGAACTTAAAAGGCACCAAAGAAACGTATCTATTGAAAAGGATGGCGGACCTACTTTCAAGATCAAGATGGCTCAGGTGTCAAATGAGTAACGGACAAACAATTCTTAGAGGTTTGTGGTGCATTTATTAGCACTGGATCCAATTGATCCAGATTTTATCTTCTCTATCGCACTGCGGTCGGTACAAGGAAATCCAAAAAAGTGCATATGCACGATGTGTGTGTGGTAAGGTGCAGGTTGCTAAGCCAGCGTTGCGCAAGCACCGCGTGTGTGTGTGTGTGTGTGCGTGCGTGCACAGGCCCGTGCACCGACTGCAGAGTTTTGTCCTTCCGCCTCATTAATCATGAAAGGGACTTTATGGGCAGCGTAACTCGTGGCTCCACATGATGGCGTGTTGGGACTGCAGCACACAAACGCACACCGGGGCCGAGCAGCTGCACTTGAGGTCAAGGGGATGGAAGTAGCGCGTTGATGTTTCTATCCGTACGCGCCGCAGCAAACAGTGAGCCGGTGTCGGTCGTTTATCACACGGAGAGTGAGCCGCTCTGTGGAAAAGCCAGCATTGTTCTCCCAAAACGCCGTGGAATCCTGATAGATTGCGGCTGTGACTTTTTCGCAGAACGTCGGGTCATTAACGTCTGTTCCTTTTGGTAAATGCGTCGGTGCAGCGGCCCAAAATAGATCCCTTGGCGAGTCATGAAGCTCGTCCCGGCAATGCTGCTTATGAAACATTTTGAGGGTTCTCTTTCGTTTACATTCTCCCCTCTTTCACCAGAAATAACTAACAAATCCCCCTCAGATCTCTAGTATCCGAACCCCCCCCCCCCCCCCACCCTGTCTCCTCAACTCCACCCATCAGTCCATCCCGCCACCCCCCCACAGCTCCGTCACAGTAACTCTGAGCTCGCGCAGGATTGAAGAGCCTCCCGGCCGGTTCCACTGCGAGATTCCATGTTCATGTTTGTGTAACTGTAGATGTTTTTTTGTACAGGCGAGATGTTGTGTGTTTCTTCCCCACAAAGAAATGCTGTTTTTTGGGGGGGGTGCGTTAGCAGGAAGTAGGGAGGCTCGGCTCCAACGCTCGAGGCAAAGTTGAATGCAAAATTCAGTGGTTCTGTTGGTACAATATGTTTCAGTCAAACTGCTGTCGCAGCGTGTCTCTAAGAGCAGATAAAACATTCAAGATATGTTTATTCTACAGAAACACACCGATTAAATGTCCCGCGAATCAAACCGCGTTACACCTCACACGCCTTTGTTGCTACTCACGTTTCCAGTTGACTTCCTGTACGGCGTCCTTTAAATCAACCCGTAATGCCCCACGATACCGCACATAACAAAAAGACTCAAATGTCCCCCGTCCGTGTGTTCTGTCCCCTCATTTTCTCCATCCAATCGGCCCTCTCGCCTGGCGCTCGAGTGCGACCTCTTGAGCTCCACCGATTGCGAGTATTGTGTTGCGCTCGCGTGCCGCGTGGGGAGTCGAGAGCGGCCCTCCCGCCCCCTTCCCCCTCCGGGTCGCAGGGAAGGAGATCTATGGGGCCCTCGGCGAGGGCGCCCCGAAGGTCACGGCGCCACCGTTTGTTTTCTGCCGGCGTGCTCCGCTATTGATCGCGACACCGGTGCTCAAGGCAAATGCCCCCCCCCCCCCTCCCCCGGGTTTGCCCGGATTAATTTAAAACGTTCCCGGGCGCCAAGTTGCCTCGAGGCGTGCGAGGCTCGCGCCGTCGAATGAAAATGAAGAGCGTGTTGCCGTCACGCGGTTTCCCTTCGGGGGGGGGGTCACAAGGGCTGCGTGGAACCGGGCCGGTTGATGAGGCGAGGGTCAATCACCGCGGCTCGCTCACTTCTCTTCATCGGCGCTGAATATATATTTAGTAAATCCGGCGGCGACAAATAAACGCCTGTGGAGCGTTTATACCGCGGGAACGTTTAGCTGTTTAAGGTTGGTATCTGCGATGCCGCGTAACGCGCCAAGCCAATAAGAGCACTCGTGAAAGGCAAACGTTTATCTGTGGCAATTGTTTAAAGCGGAATCAAAGGAGCTGATTGAGCTTCAGTAACATCAGCATCTGTTCTCATTGAGTCTTTCACATGCTTCACCGAGCATATTCTACTGGTTCATAATTCTGTACCCAATTCACACATCATTCCACTTTGTTCCCGTTTCCAATGTCCCATGCAAAAACATGGTTGTCTAGGCAACCGCCACATAACGCAGCGTGGAGGTTTCGTGTTGAATTGATTTTTGGTAATTAGCAGGTTATTAACGGCGTTCTCCTGTGAGCTTCTGGATGAACTCCAGCGTTTTCAGCCTTTCCACACCTGACCACCACCTTTCCGTCCGTCCAGGTGACGTCATCGTCTACATCAACGACGTGTGCGTCCTGGGCACCACCCACGCCGACGTGGTCAAGCTCTTCCAGTCGGTGCCGATTGGCCAAAGCGTCACCCTGGTGCTGTGCCGCGGCTACCCGCTGCCCTACGACCCGGAGGAGGCCGCCAACGCCAACAACAACACCACCACCACCACCATCATCTCGCCGCTGGGCATCATGGAGCAGCGGCCCGTCATGGTCAACGGACGCACGGGCTACGACAACTACCTGGACTACCTCTCCCGCACGGCCCGCTTCGTCGCGGACGCCCCCGGCCAGGACCAGGGGGGCGCCCAGCAGCTGCTCGCCCCCCACCCGGGCGACACCCACCTGGACGGCTCGCTGCCCCCCGCCACCGGCGCCACGCCTCCCGACAGCGTCTCCATGGCGTCGTCGGGGGCCACCCAGGGGGAGCTGCTGACGCTGACCATGGTGAAGGGCCCGGAGGGCTTCGGCTTCACCATCGCGGACAGCGGCGCCGGCCAGCGGGTCAAACAGGTGCTGGAGCCTCAGGGCTGCCCGGGCCTGTGCGAGGGCGACCTGATTGTGGAGATTAACAAGCAGCTGGTGCAGGGATACGACCACGCCCAGGTGGTGGAGCTGCTCAAGGAGTGTGCCGTGGGAGCGGAGACCATCCTGGTGGTGCAGAGGGGCGGAGCAGGTAAGGAGACGGTGGGAAGGATGGTCGGCTTGACGCGAGCATTTCAATCTGGTGTGTGTGTGTGTGTGTGTGTGTGTGTGTGTGTGTGTGTGTGTGTGTGTGTGTGTGTGTGTGTACGAGGCCTCTCTGCTCCGCTCACTTACTCATAACCCAAAGTGGTTGACACACACACACGCGTGTGGTGCTTTTTGCAGCATTGAGTCCGTCTCAAAGTGACTATTAGATGTGCTTCTTCTTGATGTCACTTTTCCAATCTGTGGCACATTTCCTGTCTTCTTTTTGTGAGCCCATAAACCCCCCAAAATGAATGCCTGTCAAAAGAAGCCACAGTCCTCCCAAAGAAAATATGGTTACACTGCAAATGGCTCTGAAGTGCTGTCTACTGTGTGTGTTTTTCAGAATGTGTGGCCCTGTGACAATCGTAATTATGCCGTGCACTCAGTGCTGAGTCACACACAGCGTTGTGATTTCTTGGTGTCTGTAGTTGTAGTAGTGTGCGTTGTTTTCCTGTGTGCATGGGTCAATGAAGGGAAGTTGTGTGTGCGCGGCAGAGGGTCCCCAAACCGAGCTCTCCTTCTTGTTGCATTGTTGCAAAGTCGCTCACCTGCCAGCGACGACACACTTGTTGTTGAACGACTTTCTGTGACGACGCACTTTAGCGCGCCGACTGGACCGGGGAACGGATGCCGCTCGCCCTTTTGTGTGAATTTATTTAGTCGCATTCTGTGTTTCGCCTCTTTGTGTTTTGTAATGTCACATAGCGATCACAATGCCAACTGCCCGGTGCCACGGACACCACCGAGACTCCCCCGCAAAGGTCAGCGGCGCCCTCTGAATGGCTTTATTACCATTTATTTCTTTATTAGGCTGCCCGTGACTCTGCCAGAGAGCAGCGAGCCGACAGGGGGAAAGAGAATGAAGAAATGAGCTTCTAGCAGCGATGATTTTCTCATCCATAAATTGCACGGAAAAATACAATTATTTAGGCCAGGACCTCAGAACCAGCACTCGCGGCGGCTCTTCAGATGTGGGAAACGAGCGCTCCCGTTGCCCGTGGAGACAAAGGCCATCCTTATTTGCATGACATAGTTCATGACGTTATTCCGAATGTGGAAGTGGCTTAGTGTCACATCCGTGCCTGTTGGCATCGTGCAAAGTGGCACTAAGGAGAAAACAGTGTAGACTTGAGGTGTGATGTTCGCTTTGAGCGCCGGTTCCCCATTTAGGGTTTGGGGTTAACTTTCTCTTCCCGCCCATCTTGGAAAGGCGAGTTGCGAGCGCATCGCCGAGCGTTTACCACGTCGTAGTAAAGCTGTCCCCATGCTGCCGGAGGGATGTCCTACGCCAGCGTCTGGTCTCACTCCCTCTCACCTGGAAGCACAACCTCTTCGGAGAGCCGAGCCACTGTGATTTCATTATTCTATTTTTTAGACTAGCAGACCAGTCGAGTAGAACTTGTGGCATTTTACACATTTAACAACCCTTTAATCGCTGTATTTTATGCCGTTTCCATGACGACACCGACTCCTAATGTCCAGCATCGGACACCACGAATGGGATTCACAGTTCTGACTCCATCAATGATCGCTGCCCTCTCCCACGCCTCCGGTTACATGCGAACGTGTGCGATGAACAGAGGCGCCGAGAAGAAGGAGAAGTAGGAAGCGGCAGAGAAATGTTTTGACGGTGCAACTGGAGTGAGAATTAAAAAACGGAGCGCCGGCGAGCCGCCGACTCTGTTCAGCGGAGCTCGTATCGCTTTATGTTGTCATGGACACAGCAAACGGCCCCAAAGAGCAGCGGCGAGTTATCATTGCTGGTGTGGATCTGAGACACGGACATCAACATCATCAACAAAAGAGACAAAGTAGCAGAAGTGGACCAAAAATTCAATGTAAATGTAAGAGTTTTTATTTCTGTATCTTTGAATGAATAAGAATCCATTCTTTTGCTCTGGATTATTTTACCATAACCTTTTCCCTCATTTGGTATTTTTACACACAACGTATTTCATTTGAATTGCTTCTTATTTTATTTACGCAGATGCTATAAATGTCATTAACAAAGTTTGAAAACACCATTTAGAATTTTCCACTCTACGAGTTCTCGTTAGCACTGTTAGAAATTGGCCTGAAACAAAGAAATAATCGCCCGTATGGGCAGATTTTCTCGCCAACAATCTAATCTGCTCGCTATTGGCTGTGAGTAACGCGGCCCCGGGGCGTTTCCGCTGTCCAAACATTGTGCCGTTTCCGATCCATCCATCCGGCCAATTACGCGCCATCACCTTGAAAAGCTCCCGCCGTAACGCAGTTATGATATTTAGTCATCCCCTAAATTCGCGTTTGACTCCCGAGCCGTTTTGGCACCATGTCTCTCATCACCAGTAATTAGTGTGCGTGCATGTGTGTGTGTGTGTGTGTCTGCATGTGTGTGTGCATGGCAGACAGCCCTCATTAGTGGCCACCCAGCTCATCAACAGGCTGCGTCCTCGCCGCCTCTCCAGCAGTCACACCGGGGTTGTAATTCGACTTTCAGCCCGTTCACGTGTGCGCTCGACCACTCAGCGTTCCGCTCTCCGCTCTCCACTCACGCCGAGCCGCGTGGTTTGATTCTCACACACACACACACACACACACTTTTGCTTCCCGAAGCAGCTTTCTGCAGACGAGCCCCCGCGCTCTTACATAAACTCTGCTACTATCAGAGGCAGATTGCCCGTTATGTGTGAACCTGCGCCTGGGATTGGTCGTGCTGCTCTAACGAGCACCGCAGACCTCAGGTGAAGGTCTTTCTTTGGAGTGAAGAAGATGGAGGAGATGGAGACACCGACCCTCCTCCAGCCTCCCGGGAATCTGTGTGGAACGAGACAGTGATTCATTGGATGTGTGTGTGTGTGTGTGTGTGTGCGGATGGTTGGAAACTAAAGAGACGAAGCAGAGTGATGATTTCGGCTCTCGGCCAGCAGAGCGCAGACCGGCGGTCGTGTTCATACTCACATCTCGGCCCCTAGCGAACCCCCAAGGGGCCGGCCCGCCAGGGGTCGATATCGCAACCGACCGGCCGCGGGAAGAGACAGCCAGCCAGGCCTCGTGCACGATGTACGAGGCGCTGAGATTAGATCATGTCAGAAGTAGAAAGAGTTAAACGAAGCTAACGGTGTTCAGCCATGTCGCCAATCAAAACGAGATCACAGGCAGAAGCTGGAGGAGAAACAGAAACCTGGGTTGCCTCTTGAACAAATCAAGCGCTCCTATTGGAGTTGTGATAAATAAGGAGTGATTGCCTGGTGTTTGATGGCCGCGGTTAAATCAATTGTGCCGTTTACGAGGTTCAAGATCATTTATATTCAATCGCGTGCCCTGCAAATCATTTGTTTTCCACGTTTGTTTTGGAGGACATCAGGCGAGCATCGGACGGCCATTTGAATAGAAGTGGATCGAATCGCTTTTACTGCTTTTTTTTTGCTGTGTGAAGCTGCCAGCCTCCCCCATGAAAGGGAGACTCGTATCCAGTGAGGGCGGAAATATTCAAGCAGTCTTCTAGTGTTATCGTGGTTGAAGGGCTGGTATTAGCCTGCCATCCAAATGAAAGAGATCTGCGTTTTGCATGGGAGAAGCAATGCAGCAGGATGTGTGTCAAGTGATTTTGTCCGTTTGGGGAGGGGGTGTGGAGGGTGGGGTGGCATTGTTAATGCAGAAAGGCTCTCGTTTCAGAACGCTTTAATTGGAATTCTGGGTCTGAGGTTTGGGTCTGAGGTTTGCCCCTACCTCCCCTCCTCCCTTCCCGACCCGGCGTGCTTCACAAAAAAGGGGGGCACTTACCAGAGGACTTCTTGGCCTGTTGAGGTGAAGTGCAAGTTGGACACCACAGGGTTCACATGCAGGGGCTCAGCAGTGAGTCTAAAGGCTTTCAGCACCACGGACAGCTCCCCCCCCTCTCCCTCTCTCTCTCTCTCTCGCATACTCACTCTTGTTGTCTCTCGCCCCCTCCTCAGCTCTCAGCCACTCTGACACCAGCGTCTGAGTAAATGTCTGGTGCGGCTGAGTTAACAGCGCCTGCACCCCGAGGATCGCCCCGGTCAGTGATGCCTCCTCCTTGTCAGCTAAGGTTCTGTCACCTACTCGGTTGGAGCGCTCCGTCGTTGCCGACTCCGCCCGCCGTGTCCTTCGCGCCGGCTAATGTAACCCGACGTAGGTCCTTTGGACAGAAAGCCTTTCATTGATTGACCTGCTTTGGGAGCGAAATGTGAAATACTGACGTCATGCTGTTCAAAATGTCCTTTTGAGTCCTTTTGAAATGCCGTTAAATAAATCTAAATCTCGTTTGGCTCATTTCGACTGAGATGAGCTGACAAATATTGCTGCATTTCTTTGTGTCTCTTCTGACGACTGGGAGGACTGGCGCGTTATTCGAGCAGTCGCTCCATAATTCGGGAAGATGGAGCGTGTTTTTTTATTTACATGCTCCTGTGGATTTGACAACAGAAACGGCGCTGCAGCACATGTTTGATGACTTCAGCTGCTGCCGATTGTTTTCTTTCACCATCCAAGAAAGACGTCTGCGCGTTCGCTCGAGCAACGTTGTAAGCAGCAAAGAGTCATTGAAAGGTCAAAGAACGATGCGTAGGAAAGTGAAAGGGGGAATGTTTAAATGGTCAATAACTTTGCAGTAAGTGGCCAAATAATCAGTTAATTCTATCATGACATTCATTTCCCTGCATTTCGCCTTTATTGAAAAAAAGAAAATCATCAAGTCAGACTTTAAGACAACAACTCGAATCCATCGCACTCATTCATTCATATCATTTATGCCACCTATTGATTGCTGTCATGTTTAATCAGTTCCATCTGCTCAATACCTTTTTTTTTTTTTACACATTAATTTGCCGTCCTATGGTTGTTGTTTTTTTCTTTGTCCTTTCTACCATTGACAGCGTCTCATTTGTGTCACATTGTTATTTCCCTTTGATTTATCTGTAATTCTGTTTTTTTCTTGTTTTTCCACATTCTACTAACCGTGGAATCAGCTTCCTCAGCAGGAATAAATCTGCCTCATCTCATTCATTCTAAAGCATCTTTTTGTTCTCTCAACATTTCAGGTCACTATTCACCCTGGAAGAGCCCCAAGCAGGTAACGCGCACCGGCCCTTTTTAATCATTAATACAGTTTTCACTTTAGTCCCAATGGCTGCGGTGTGCAAACTCTGCTGTGCTGATCAGAGTGACTTTAATCTTTTATTTTACACTCTTTGCGAGCTCTAGAAATGACTTTTCAATCCCTCCCCGGCTGCACTAATCCACTGACTGTTCGCTACGTGTGCCCTCGATACTCTGCCTTTCCTCATCGCCGGAGGACGAGGAAAGTTCAAGTGGCTGCTCTTAACACAGCTCGTCTCTTGATCTCTTGATTCGGAGCCGGGATAGTTCCTTCGGGGTTACGCACCCCGGGGGCCTTTGAGTTATGTGGCAGGCGGAGTGCTGCTCGGCCGTTTTGGCCCGGATGCGTGTTTAGTTTCACAACGTTTTTTGCGAATATTTTAGCCTTCAAGCGCTTTCGTTCCACTCCCGCGTTATTTATCTTTCACTTTGCCTTCATGTCGCGTTCCAGGCCTCTTCTGCCCCCCCCCCCCCCATAAATCATAAATACTCACAAGTATCACCCGCTGTCCCTGAGCTCACAGAAAGAACTCCATCCACCCGACGTAACCACGCATCGAAGCCTCCGCTGTATTGGTGGCTGCCCCACCTCGGACACCCCCACCCGAGTGAACCCCGGCACGTTCGCTCTCAGTTTAATTGGGGATCATTTGTTACAAGACTTATGCAGCTCTGGGAACAAACTATGGAGGTATTTGCCTTATAGGGGAGCGGGGAATTGACTAATTGTCACGTCGACCTACGGCTGAGCTCAGATTGCAGCTCCCGAGGGCTTATAGAGATTTGCCGGTCGAGTCCAACACTCCCAACGGCAACTTGGTGCTCTTCACGAATGTCATCTAAAGGAGCCGTCCGTGCATCTGACCACCACCGCCTCAATCAAACAGACCGAGTGGGAGGAACCGCATATAGTTATTCTCGCTTCATCTACAACCAGATGCCGCGAGCAGCCGGTGGCGCTTTGCCAACAGCTGGTGGCTCCCCGCGGATCCGCCTCTCGCCCTCTCCGACACGTCGACGTGTCGTCCCGGGCGATCTGCTCGCTGCGTCTGGAGCGGCCCGACTCATCGGGAAACGCACCGAGGGCTCGCGCGCCGACCGACTGGTGTCGTCCAAACTGGCGGCGGCGGCGCCTCCAACGCTCGCGTGGCTCCGGCGGCAGCTTATGTGTACTCGGACACCACGGCTGGAGCCGCTTCCGCTTGTTTTCAACTACTAACCTCACTAACGTTGAACTGTCCGGCTTCCCGCCTTTTCCCGCCACGACTGGATGGTTCACTAAACCCCGCCTCTCAACGGCTCTTGGTTGCCTGGCAACCCTCGGGCTTCTTTGCACCGCTACACAATATGAATAAAACCAAAAACTCAATGTTTATCTTTTAAAAAGAGAACCGGGCGTCTACCTGACTTTGCTAATCTGGCAATGTCTCCAGCCCCTTTGTTAGCTAGCGTTAGCTTTAATCACGGTACGCGGGGCTACAGGTTGAGCTAACGTTACGTTTAAAATGAACATGTTATGGATATAATAAACCCTTTATTTATTAATATTACTCATTTAAACCATCTCATTTTGTTGAAATTAACATAAAATATTTTTTTCAGGATCATCAGCCGATGGGACGCGGGAATTTTTAAGCAGCCTCAATTATTCAGATGTTTATCGTGCCTTGTGCATATTTAAGTCCCTCTTAAAAGGCTTTTCCTTTTAAAAATAATCTTAAAACATTCACATGAACTTTCTTAACAAACTAGCTCATTTAAGCAGTAGCATCATCTCAGGAAGCTTCGGCCGATAAAATCTGCCGCCGCCATCATCATCATCATCATCTCAAACTGTGCGGGAAGGGAACGGGGAGCCTGACGAGGGGAAGCGAGCGGCTGGGATGAGCGAACGGTTACAGAGCAAAGAAAGAATCGGAGGAGGTGTTTGGGGAAGTATTGACTCCTCATGCCGCTGCTGTGCTTTGCAGGTGCTGGAGCAGTGGGAGTCCCAGCAGACCAGCCCGTCAGCCCCAGTTATCCCCCACAACGCCCCCTTCCCAGCACGCCATCTCCACAGGGCCTCCGAGGCCGCGGCCCCGGCCAAACCAGACCCCTTTGACCTATATGAGAAGTCCAGGGCTATCTATGAGAGTAGGCGTAAGTACCGGCGCCGATGCTGCAGGTGCAACATTCGGACAAACAGTCCTCTCAGGCGCCGACGTGAAGCGGAGGTTTCACTTCTCTTTTTCTCCCAAACACACACAAATTCAGTCGCGGATTCTGTATGGTTCACCTTTGAAGCTTCGCGAAAAAAGGATGTTCAAATGTGCAAATATGCGGCTACTCGATTCACCTTTGAGCTCAGCCTCTTTACCGACTGGAGGGATGTTTACATTCAGGCGTCCACGTCCTGCCAGCTCGCATCGTACAAGGAGATGAATGAATGAATAAACACTCGTCAGCTGATTTCTTTAGGACATAATGCTTGTTAGGTTGTCATCCTGACACACCATAAAAAACTCTCTCATATAAGCTGGTCTATACGGAGCTGTATTTTTCATGGGTGGATTTCAGAAGCGATCTGCGGTAGAGACGGGCTCCGGTAGTTTCCTCCGGCGTGGCCGTGGTTGACATGGAAGAGCGAAAGCGTTCCACGCGCTGGACTTGGTGTTCACGCACGTGATATCCGAGAGGACGTGGCTGTCAGAAAGTCTCCTTTTCAAACCTGCGTCTCTCGGGCTCTTTCTCTCGTATCTTCCTTCTCCTCCGATGTACCGGGATCAGTGTGACACGCCGTTTGTCTTCCTTTCAATGAAAGGTTCAGGAACAGGCAGATTTTGAGATTTGCCCCTCTCGCCGCTGTGGGTGAAGCAGGGCGGGACCTTTTTTTCCCACCCTGGTGGAGCGCTGTGAGCAAACTGTTCATTTCCCTTTGACAGACTGTCAGCCTTTATGTGCACAGGTTGGATTCAAGGCTCAGCTCACACAGCGCAAAGAAACCCAATATTAAAACATCTACAATGACAATGGCGCAAACTGCTGGTGATTAGAAAGTTGATGTGGGCTCAGAACTGCTTTTAAATGGACCTCGAGGTGAGAATAATCCGTCTGCGTCGTATTTCTTCTGCCTTTTTAATAATAATTGCTGTGAAAGTCATTCGACGTAAAGTATTCGCCTTGCTACTCTGCTCGCTCTCTAACAAACCACTGCGCGTGGTTTCCGTGGAAACCGCGGTGTCACTCCGGCGTCGCCCCGCTGTGTGCCGGTGTGATTAAAACGCTTACAGTTTGAGTTCGATTGAGTTCACCCGCCGTTGGCGGCGTGTGAAGCCCCTGACTGCGGATCAGCGCCCCCGGCCCACCTCGCTCTGTAAACAAGGGACGGCTGCATTACACGCCTTAAGCACTTCCTGACTTTTATGGACGACGCTGGAATTTGGCGGTGACATGGTGACAAGGCGGAGCCTTCCAGCCTGTACGGCAGAATGTGTTTGCCTGCTGTGTGTGTGTGTGTGTGTGTGTGTGCGTGTGTGTGCGTGTGTGTGCGTGTGTGTGCGTGTGTGTGTGTGTGTGTGTGTGTGCGCGTGAACAACGGCCGTGTCTTTTTTTGTTTATGGGTGCTTTCCACATCTTTTTATTTCTAGAACCTGGCCAACCGAGGACGGTTTACCCTGTGGACTGCTCAGGTAAAACACAAACACCTCCACGGTGACACTGTTCAGGAACAAACTGCTCATGACCTGGAAGTGGGGCGATAACCGGATTTGAATGGCGCCTGTGGTCTCGTTGCCCCAGGAGCGGACTACCAGGACATGGAGGTGCACCTGCGCCGGCACAAGTCCGGCTTCGGTTTCCGGGTGCTGGGCGGCGACGAGGCGGGGCAGCCTGTGAGTCCGGAGGCGCGTGAGAAGGCTCGTATGGCGATGGGCGTGGAACCCTGTCATTTTCTCCTCTCTAACCCACACACACACACACACACGCTGTACACCTAACCCCTGACCTCTGACCCCTTGAGAGAGTGCTGGCTCTGGCTGCTCTGATGTCTTTTGCTGTCTGTTAAAGTAACGACTTAACAACCCACCGCATGCGACACCTCGCGGACCCTCAGAGGCCGGACCCTCTGCTTCCCGTGCGTAACAGTCTCCGTGTTACAGCAGATACTGATCGGGGCGATCATCGAGAAGAGTCCGGCGGACGTGGACGGGCGCTTGCGGCCCGGCGACGAGCTGCTGTTCGTGGACGCGATCCCGGTGGTGGGGAAGCCTCACCGGTACGTCATCGACTTGATGCACGGGGCGGCGCGTAACGGCCAGGTGAACCTGGTGGTCAGGAGGAGGCTGCAGGCAGCAGGTGAGCAGGTGCATAGGACGCTGGCTCGTCCTTCCCCTCCTTCCCTGTCCGCTGCCACCAGTTTTTATTTCTCCCCTGTAACGATTCGGGTAAAAAAACAGCGTTAAATCACTCAGAACACCGAGGCGCTAATCTCTGTGATAAATTCAAAGCTAGACAGACCACTCATATCTTTAATCCTATCTTCCTGGGCCCCATCCACATCATCCAGGTTAGCCATCGAGACACGGAGGGAGGTTCGCACACACACACAGGGATCAGTAGCTACTCCCCACGGACTCACATGGTCCAGCCCCCCCCCCCCCCCCCCACACACACTCTTCTCACCAATCCACTTATTCCCACTCCAGTCCTCCTCCTCTGTCAATTTCATCTCACCAAAGGCTCCCGACTGACTCATACCTGTGGCCTCTCACTTCCATCCTAATTGTCTGACTCCCACGGGCGCTTTGCGAGGTGACTCTGTGCTCCGCCAGCTCCACCGCAATTTATACCATTCTTTCCCCCTTTTTTAAGAAAAACATTTCTACCTCCCGAATCAGCTGTGTGGACCCCCTGTTCTTTTTTTTTTTTACCGGTACAAATGTCGGCGTCACTTCCTATTTGTGGCGTCAAAAGGCGCCGCGCTGCTTCTGGTGAGCTATCAAACCAACAGCAGCAGCGGAGGGTTCGATTGCTCCGCGTGGCGACACAAGTTGTTTTTGCTCCGGCTGGATTGACACAACGCTGCGTTCTTAGACTGGTTCCACCCGGTTGTGACAGCTGCTTCTGTTCTGCTGTTTGCTGATTCCTCACGAGGAAAAATTAATTGGTTTTTGCACATGCGGAATCCTCCTTAGTTTCTTCCAAAGCCGTTATGTGTCTTCATAACAATTTTACAGCACAGTGTCGAGAATCTTAAAACGCCGTCATTTCAAAATAAGAACGCAAAGAATGATTGACAGGCTGTTAAAAGGGAAGATTGAGATATTTGTATATTTCATAAAGTACAAAACGCTGTTTCAAAGAGTAATGCACGGGGTTTTAAATACATCTTTCTATTTGGAGAGAGATTAAAATACGTCAAAAACAACGAATACCGATTGCTTGGTTTTTCAGTCCCGCCCCATTAATCACCTGACGTCCCTGCTGGTCTATCTTGTGACCCCTTTGTGGAGCCTCGACCCCGATGTTGGCAACCAAGATACTGAACTGAATAACTGCCTTAACCGGATCCGCCTCCCGTCGCTCGCACAGTTCAGTTCTAATCAATACGAACTTTGTATTAAAAACACTGCTGTGCGTTTTCTTCGGATCCATCTTGATTGTATGACTTGTTCTTAATAGTATGAGAGTATTTTCCTGGTTTTAGCTCCAGATATGTGTTGATGCTCTCCCCCCAGGGGAGTCCTGCCCGGCGAACGGACGCAGCCCGGGCTCCGTCTCCACGCAGCACAGCTCCCCTCGCAGCGACTTCACCTACGCCAACAGCATCGGCGGCGCCCAGGCGCCCGCGGGCAACGCCGCCGCCGCCGCTCCAGACAGGACGTCCGCCCCCAACGCGCTACCCAGCGACGTCGTCATCAACCGAAAGGAGAGCGAAGGCTTCGGCTTTGTGATCATCAGCTCGCTCAACAGGCCCGAGGCGGCCGGCGCCAACGGTGAGTCGCGTGAACCGGAAACCCGCTCCCGGGTCGCGTGCGGAGTCGCCCACGCCTCACGCGCGTCGTGTTTTTCCTCGCGACAGCCGTGCCCCACAAGATCGGCCGCATCATCGAGGGCAGCCCGGCCGACCGCTGCGGCAAGCTGAAGGTGGGCGACCGGATCCTGGCGGTGAACGGCCAGTCCATCGTCAGCATGCCGCACGCCGACATCGTCAAGCTCATCAAGGACGCGGGCCTCGGCGTCACGCTGAGGATCGTACCGCAGGAAGGTGAGAGGGACGCGTGGCCTCCCGCACATACACACAAACGCCGCGCGGACGCGACAGACGAGGACTGCGGCGCTCTGGCTAAGACGGTGATGTATGGGAGTCGTAGTTGAACTTGTACTGTTAAGTTTTGTAGATTTAGCGAGCGGCGTGACGCCCGTGAGCGGCGCTCCTCTCCCCTCTGCAGTTTAGCGAGGGCTTTAAAAAGAGTTTGGCGGTGACATTGCGAGAGGTTGCCGAGGGATTCTAATGCTGAAATCACTTTTGACCACTTTGTACAGATAACTGGCTGGAAATCAGCTTTAATTCTACTTTCCTATTGTAGACTTTCTCCTTTGCACAGAATTATAACACTTATTAAAGCTTTCCGCGTGGAGTTTTTGTCCACTGGTGGGAGTGGAGCGAGCTTCTGTTTTGTTAGTTATTGTGCGTGTGATCAGTGAGACTCGCACACAGGATTATCAGCCAATCTGCAGCGGCTTTATGGAGTTTAATGTTGAGTTTAGGGCTCCTCTCGCAGCTTTACTCTTTTTTCTTCTTCTCTCTCTCACCCATCTCCCAGCCTCCTTTTCATCCCCAACAGGCAGCTGTTCCTGCAGAAATGCTGAAAAGAATATCCAGTGTACTGAAGCTACTCGGTAGCAAAGTGCTGACTGACATGTGCGGCTATCTGGTGAACATAGCGGAGCATTTAGCAGCTAAAGAGCCAGATGTTTGCAGTTTAAAAGAAGTTTAGTACCAGACTTATACTTATAAATAAATAAATATAATAAATATATAAATAAATGTTTGAATTGGGAAATGTTTACCACATCATCTTTATGAAATGATAATCATAGACATGTAATAAGTGGAGTTTGGTACAAGAAAACTCTCAATAAGACATCGGGGCTACCTTGCGAGACCTGTCAATCACAAGGTAGCCCCGCCCTAAAGTACACTCTGCTCTATGTTCTATTTGACAGTAAACGAACCGTACTTTACTAAATGAACATCCAGAAGACGCTTGAGACCACAAGCTGATGTTTACAATGTTTAATAAATCATTCACTTCTTTCTGGTAACCAGAGGAGTCCGGTGGGATCCGTCCCGTTACTCTGTCCCCTCTTTGTGACTCCCAGAGATCAGTAATCCCCCGTCGGCCCCCACCTCGGAGAAGCAGAGCCCCATGGCCCAGCAGCACAGTCCCAAGACCCAGCCGGGCGCCGCCGCCGCCTCGCAGCCCGGCCCGGCGGGCACGGAACCCGACCGGCCCGGCCCAGCGACCCACCAGAGCCCCGCCGCCCAGCCGCCCGCCCCCCCGCCTCCGACCTACGCCCACGAGAGCAGGTAACCGGCCGTCGGCGCGGATCCTCTGATCCTTTTATCTTCCTCTCATCCTCCTCTGCTTGTTGTATAACATCACTTAACTCTTATGGACCCGCTAAATTATTTACATCAATTTCGTCTTGATAGAGATTCGTTGAATATTTTACCGAGAACTACATGGTTCCAAAGTCGTCAACGTCGCTACGTTCGGGCCTCCGCCGCCGCCCCTGAGAGGACTTGTTTTTCATCGGGGGAACATTTTCTGTGCTGCGTGAAGAAACTTTCTTGTTTCATGTTTGTCAGCGCAAACCAAAACGCAGAGCGAGCCGCCGTCACTTCGAGCCGCGAGATAGCGACGACTGGCGGTGAGGGACGTCCTCCCGCCATCGCTTCCCTCACCCCGATTGCTTTGGCAGTTACAGGTCAGAGGTGAAGGCGAGGCAAGACGTCAAACCAGACATCCGCCAGCCGCCGTTCACCGACTACCGGCAGCCGCCGGTGGATTACCGGCACCCCCCCGTGGCGGACTACCGGCAGCCGCCCACGTTGGACTACAGGCACCCGCCGCTGCTCGACTACAGGCAGCTCGCCGCCGACACCAGGCAGTTCACCCTGCCGGATTACCGGATGCCGCCGGTCCAAGTAAGGAAGCAAAACAGAATATTACATCAAAGTCGGGAATATGAAATCAAACTGATGAAACTGCGTTGAACGCGTTGAGGAGCAGCCCAGCGTTAAAAATGTAAGAGCACATGTAGGAAAATAAAAAAGTTTATGAAATTATTTTCTGAAAGAGCGAAAAAATATACTGCTATTGCTTTTTCGTCTGCACAAATTACTGTCATTATTGCAGTGAAAAACGTTGTCCCTCAGGTTTATGACAAACAGATTTTTCACAATGTCATTATCTCCATTTGCAAGAAATCCCTCCGATATGAAGCTGAATGACCTTTAAAACATTCTAAATTGATTGATATCCAAAGAATACACTTTAAAGGTGAATAAACATGACAATAGTAGGAAAAGAAAGAAAATGTTTCCTATTCTACTACATTAGTGTAAATTCTATATATTATTGTTGTGTATATTCCATCATTACCTCCATTCTGGACTGTAGCTGACATCGTCTACTCAATTCTATTCTCTTTGTAACACATTATTTTCCGTCCAGAAGTGAAGCCTGACTCACTGCTGTTTAATGTCTATATTGTCAATGCTGTTGAGCAGCATTCACAGCTAATATTAAATAAGTTCTGGGTCGCGCTTCGTTGACCTCGCACTCGCTCCGTTGTCGTCCGCTTGTTATTCCAGATCGCGTCGACTCTGATGGCGCCTGATCCCCGCGCGGCTCAGCTGTCGCAGGACTTTGACTTCTTCACCGTGGAGCTGGAGAAAAGCGCGAAAGGCTTCGGTTTCAGCATCCGCGGCGGCCGCGAGTACAAGATGGACCTCTTTGTCCTGCGACTGGCCGAGGACGGACCGGCCATCCGCAACGGGAGGATGAGGGTACGTTCGAGGACGTCACTTGCTGTAAGATCTACCGATTGAGCGTCTTCCCATCTCCTTGGATCACATGGCAGACGCTCACTGTGATCGGCCGATGTCACCGGGCGCCGCGGCAGCAACTTTTTCACAGGCGATGAAGAAATAATCTGTGAAAAAGAACAAAGAGATGCTTTTTCTCCTGCCAACTTCCTAAAACACATCTGTGCTTTGCGCGTAGTAACGGGTGACATTTAGAACGACAAAGATAGACAAGACACTGAAGTGGGCCAGAAAAAGAACAAGAGGACATTTTCTAGAGTTTAGAAAGATTAAAGCTATGAAGACAATGCAGACGGAATCTTTCTGTCTCTTCCTTTCATGTCCTCTTCATGCGTTGAGCTGTTGCCGTCGGCTTTAAATTCTCTCTATGCAATGAAGCTGTGAGAGATAATCTGTGTAAACTGCCTCGGGGGGGGGGGGGGGGGGGGTACTACTTTCCTGCCTCGCTGGTGTTGCCAATGGGACTCGACGCAGGTGGAAGGAGGAGGAGGAGGAATCCTTTTCCTAAGTAAAAGCACAAGCCCGATTCATGTAAAAATACAACTTAACAAGTTAAAGTCCTTCAAGCTAAATCTTACATCACTGACGGAAACTACAGGCGTCTCATAAACTTTGCGCAGGAAGAAGTGCAGCACTTTGCGGAGCAGCGTCGCGTACGAGCCGCTTTCCCCCCGCTGAGGCCGATCGGTCTCGGATGAATTGCCAGACGGTCACTCGGCTGGTGGGATATTGAAATAAACTCGGCGCTGCGGCGTTAAATAGATCTCAGAGGGTGCAAAGACCACTTTGAACAACACTCCTTGATCCACACAGCCGGATGCAGAGAGGAGAGGAATCTGCATTTAACTTTAAATAAATGTGAGATGTCGGATAGAAAGCATCGCCTGTCGCTGTGGATTTGAGTCGCTCTCTGACACGTTTTGAGGTGCAGGAACCAAAAGCTCTCCCTGCAGGCTCCCTCACGTCCTTTAATCCAAATCATCAACAGGCACTTTGTCAGGATCCGCTTTGATCCCGCTGGTCACCAAACCAATCAGCAAGGAGCACTAATACGTTCTAACATGCGTTCTTTTCTTCTGCTTTTTTTTTTTTTTGTGGCTGTTCAGAGGCTTTTATGGAAATCGTGTGAAGTGATGGGTTATTAGGAATAATCATCCGGCACATTTAATCACCTCTTTGGGCTCTGAGCCTCCCGACAAAAGGCCGAGTCGTTCGTTCCACCTCAGCTCGCCCCGTACCAGCGACGAGAATGGAGATCACGCCGCTGAAAGGGAGGCAGGGGAATAAGTATTAAACCTTCCACCTCTCCTCAGGCCGCTGCAGCGGCACCTAATGACCCCCCCCTCCACCCACCCCACAATTTTTAAATTACCCCAACCATTACCGCGGGACCCCTCCATTTGTTAGCGTAATTGGCTGCCGTGTTTAGTCCGACCCCCCTCCTCCCCCCCGCCTCCCGTCAGATAGGTCCCAGGA